TATGAACAAATCCACAAGGGCCGTGACGAGGATTCGAACATGCGTTCGAGAGCATCCCAGACGCTGCCTCAGTCGATTAAGGCAGCGTCTGGGATGCTTCCGGACGCAGGTTCGAATCCTCGTCACGGCCCTTGTGGATTTGTTCATTTGATGCATCAGGCAACTGTGATTTCTGTGTGTCATTAAGGTATGACGTGATATAGAAAAACAATATGTGTACAGAACACAGACGGTCGTACACAGTGCTGGGGGAGAGTAAGTATAGAACACAGACAGTATGCTCGTTCCTAGTACTATACGCAACTAGCCCTTCTACGATACTCCACCCTATCTTACGATACTCCACTCCTCCCTACGATACTTCACCCCACTGGTGACACCCCAGTAACTCTCAACACGACCGAAACAGCGCCAGTGATCGCGACTTTGAGACTCCGATGACGCAAGTGAATGAAATATTATTTCCTCATTTATTGTGGGTTGTAATTTATATGTACGTATAATATATAATATGTGTGTGTGTGTGTGTGTGTGTGTGTGTGTGTGTGTGTGTGTGTGTGTGTGTGTGTGTGTGTGTGTGTGTGTGTGTGTGTGTGTGTATATATATCTCCAGGCCACCTGTTTGGTGTGTGGGGCTCACGAGTGAGACGTCGCACCATCAGCACACACAAGTCACACGTAAGAATACCAACCGGTGTGTTTAGAGACAACATAACCACTAATAACCATCACAGACGTATGTCGTAAAGACGGCTATCGAGAGTCGCATCAGATAGACTTAACTGCTGTTGGAAGGTTATGAAGCGAGTCTCTCCCGGATGTCACTCAACTCTGACTCTCCTCGTCACAGTTGCAAATATTAATTCATTTTTGCAGTTGAAGGCGCAGTACAAAAGGTGACTAGGATGCCTTTGCAGCTTCGACCACTTTTTGCACGTGAATGCCAACATTGCAACATTTTAAATTGCGTGGGAAACAACAGAGTTTCATCGCAAGAGTTTCAAGAACGAACCAGAAATGCTGACAGTTTTTCATTGATCTAATGAGTGGAGTTTCTAAGCGCTATTTATAATACCTAGGCTCATAAAATGATGTAATAGAAGCGAGTAATAATCTTGTATATCTGCTTCATTACACACAGAAATCACAATAGCGTGATGATTAAGGCAACGTCTGGGATCCTCTCGGACGCAGGTTCGAATCTTCGTCTCGGCCCTTGTGGATTTGTTCAGTGTATATCTCTGTTTACTGGACAAGTTTTTTGTTTAAATTTATCTGGACTTTGTGGGCGTCCAGCACTCTGGATACAGCTGACATCTCCCGGTGTAACACTAGAATTATTCAGTGTCTGTGCTACAAGTATCACCACTTTGTTCCCCCTGGAACAGGAAAACAGGATGAAAGGTTGTGGCCTCCTGGTATCCTACATCCTTCCCATCCCTCCCTCCCTCCGCGGCTCACCCGACAGGAAACGACAGTTCTCACAATTAACATCCTTGCTCTAATACGTTTTTTTTACACAGGTCTATGGTAGTTAATTTGTGGCTGACTTTTTATTTTATTTGCACGAACGTCAATAGATTATATGTGTCCAGGTACACGGGGGTTGCCACCAATCTGCTTACTTCCTCAATAACGCCGCCGATGACAGCCATTGTGTGACCTTAAATTCACACACAAGTGGCTTGGGACCCGCAAAATCAACCTCCCATTTTCCTAAAATACTGTTCTGGTCCTAAGCAAAAATACACCTTCCAAACCAGCAATTCAGCGTTGAATTATGAAAATAAATATAATTCTTCTGGGGAGCCCCTCCGTTCGTCAGGCCGGATTGCCAGGCCCGTAACACAGCCGAGCCTCCCGGTAATTGTGTCGGTGCTCTCACGAACGCCTGTAGTACTCTCACGAACGCTTGAGTACTCTCACGAACGCCTGTAGTACTCTCACGAACGCGTGGAGTACAGTGAAGCACCGTTGTCATATAACAGAAGGTGTCAAGCTGATGGTCCAGCTTAGGTATGGTAATAATCTACTCTCCACACTACTGTCATTCGATCAGTTCAAGGACTAAGAGTATCGTTCACTACAGATACATTTCCTTTACATCTACTCATCCACCCGATACATTTTTTGTTGTCCTTCATGTTGACAGCCACATAATTATCCCTCAGCCCACAAAAAATATTCCCTCACCATCCGCTGCTGGCCTGGCCTGAGACCGACGCAGTAGTCGGAATTCACTTAAGCTGCACCGTAAATATGAGCCATGCGGGGCTTGTTTTGATCAATTTAGATAAGCTACAGAAAGACAAACAGATGCTAACCTCGACAGACACCGGAGTGGGCCCGCTCCCGTCTCGTCCCACAGACAGGTAAGCTGGAGCCTATACGGAAGGCTCCACACCTTATAAGTCATACAAAGTAAGCGGCTTGTATTATAAGTATCTCTGGAGGAGTTTACATTACTAAGCGATATAAACCTCTTCAAAAGTTAACCGTATAACCAAATCTATACGTCCACTCTACATCATTATGTGATAAAATAGGGGACACAATAAAGAATTTAGAGGTAACTCCTTATTTTCTTCAGAAAGATCTACTATCAGAAATCTTAGCCAAGTATTCCTAGAGTGTCCGCTGCAGGTAATGGATGAAACTGACTGTAATCCTTCCCGCCTCCCTCCTCTGGATGGGTTTAGGTTGCATGATGGGCAAACTAATGTAGTGTGTTTCTAACTCAACAAATGCAAATTGCTGAGTTTAAAGATCATGTGGGTTCAGTATTTAAACCAATAATGTGATACTAACCAGGATGGGAATGGGGTCCACTACTACTCACAGGATGGGTATGGGGTCCACTACTACTCACAGGATGGGTATGGGGTCCACTACTACTCACAGGATAGGTATGGGGTCCACTACTACTCACAGTATGGGGTCCACTACCACTTACAGGATGGGTATGGGGTCCACTACCACTTACAGGATGGGTATGGGGTCCAAGACCACTTACAGTATGAGTATGGGGTCCACTACCACTCACAGTATGGGTATGGGGTCCACTACCACTCACAGTATGGGTATGGGGTCCACTACCACTCACAGGATGGGTATGGGGTCCACTACCACTCACAGTAGGGGTATGGGGTCCACTACCACTCACAGTATGGGTATGGGGTCCACTACCACCCACAGGATTGGTATGGGGTCCACTACCACTCACAGGATGGGTATGGGGTCCACTACCACTCACAGTATAGGTATGGGGTCCACTAATACTTACATTATGGGTATGGTTCACCTTAAGATTTCTCCAAGTTGGGGAAAGAAAACATATTTGGCTTCTTATTTCAAGTAATTTAAGTGAGACAATAAGATACATCTTAAAAGAATGGCTAAGGACATTTCTACCCTCCAAAACATTTTCTCCCCGGCGGGGAATCGAACCCCGGTCTCCCGCGTGACAGGCGGGGATACTCACCACTATACTACCGAGGAATGTAACTCTGGTACATATTTAGTGCTAGATGAACAGAGGCATCAGGTGAAAGAAATCGTTGTCCAAATTCTTCTGTTCTACCGCGGGAATCGAGTCTCTAGAACCCTTTGGCTGTGACCTGACCTACAACGTAACAAATGCAATGTACTAAAACTAGCCTCGTGTTCCTTTAGGTCTCAGGGTACCGTTCAGTTAATGAATGAGTCATATGAATTCCTTTAGGTAATTATTTACTATAAAAACTACCCGGGCACCCGAGTACCTCCACCTCCTACCCGGGCAGCGGGCTCCACCGTCCACCCGGGCAGCGGGCTCCACCACCCACCCGGGCAGCGGGCTCCACCGTCCACCCGGGCAGCGGGCTCCACCACCCACCCGGGCAGCGGGCTCCACCACCCACCCGGGCAGCGGGCTCCACCACCCACCCGGGCAGCGGGCTCCACCTCCCACCCGGGCAGCGGGCTCCACCACCCACCCGGGCAGCGGGCTCCACCACCCACCCGGGCAGCGGGCTCCACCGTCCACCCGGGCAGCGGGCTCCACCTCCCACCCGGGCAACGGGCTCCACCCACCCACCCGGGCAGCGGGCTCCACCTCCCACCCGGGCAACGGGCTCCACCCACCCACCCGGGCAGCGGGCTCCACCTCCCACCCGGGCAACGGGCTCCACCGTCCATCCCACTAACATTTACTTATAAAAATAAGCAGTGTCGGGTCCCCTGCCCTTCTACCAACCTCCATCTCCAGAGGCCCGTTAACTAGACTGAGTCAATCTCGTAATTTAATGGTTGAGGGTCATTCCTGGCCAGCTATTCTTGCTTGCTTTAAAAACTACATTAGACCGAACTTGTTCATTATGGAGAAGTCTTTTGATGGATAGAAAGCACAGGTATTTACAAGGAAGAGGAGAGGACGGGGCTTCCCAGCGCCCCCGGCGCACACTCAAACCTACCTCGCCAATTTCTTATCTTCTCAAAGAGTAAATATTATGTTGTGAGTGATGCAATGAGTCCTAGACCCGCGTCTGGCTGGCAGCCTCTCCTCAGGTGGTGAGGGAGTGTGACATGAGGCACTATGAGACTGTGACATGAGGCTGCTTTGCTGCAAATAACTTTGGGGACGCGCCTCTCAAAATCAGCTGTTAAGAGAATTGGAAATGAACGAAGTGTTGTGGAAGTGTATGGTGGCTGGGGGGCCCGGGTGGCCCGCATGGCCCCCGGCGCACGGTCAGAGTTCATTGTGGGGGGATGGGTAGATGGGGGAGGGGGGATAAGGTACCTACTGGGCAATTGTACCCTTTCATCTCTACCTATTTACATATATATATATTTCCCCAGCAAGCAAGATTAATTCAGTTGCGATATGTAGCAATATACGTGCGCTGTGAGGCTGCGTGCGGTTGCCTCCTCTCCTTAAGTTTATTATAAGAAACCTTGAAGGAGGATGTTATCGTACATCCTTCCGCCTGTTGCTGGTGGCTGTTTTCCAGAGTAAAGCATCTTGTAGCGGTCGTCCCCCGTGTTCTGCGCCGTCCTCTGTCATATTCTATGGAAATGAGGCTAAGATGTGCCTGACAGAGTGCCAGGTAAAGCGTCGTGAGTGCCAAGGAAGTGCTTGTGTGGCCGGCTAGACTCCTGCAGGAGGCCGTCTTCTGCAGACACAACAAAGACGATCTTTCTTTTTTTTCTTATCACTCGTCGCCGGCACCTGGACGTCTCATGCCTCTCATTAACCATCTTTCGGGATTTCTGCGCCGATGACACCGTGATCAGACGCTTCAGTAAGGTGAGCCACTTGTCTTTGTAGTTGAAGGTGAAGGTATTGTTAGTTTGGGGCCGAGTGGTGGATCAAAACTAACTTCGTGTGCTTCACTGAACTTTTTTTATGCAGTTTTGTGATACGAAGATCTATTTTAATGCTTTTTGTTATTAAAGTATATTTTTTGTGTAAGTCCCGTTGTCTGTAATTTGGTGTGTAGGATTTTCCGTTTAATATATACCTAATTTAATAAAATTTAGTAATAATAATAATTTATTGACAAATATAATAGTTAGCCATTAAACATTTTCAGTTTTCAATAATATTACATGGAAGAAAACGAGACGTATTTATGGGGAGACATAGTTATTTCCTTAGTGTTCTTGATCTTTTCCGCAATATTATCATTTGATTAAGTAAATCGCACTTAAATTTACTACACATTGATTCATAGAAATATTTAAAAATAATAAAAATAAAATAACCACATCGCTATAGCAACATGTGAACATAAATTATGATCAGGTAAACATATGGCACAATCGAGAATTCCCGGTTCGAATCCCGGACGGGACAGAAATTTATTTTTATTTATTTATATATATACAAGAAGGTACATTGGGATTGTGAGGATACATAGCATAGTAATTACATTCTTGTAAAGCCACCAGTACGCGCAGCGTTTCGGGCAGAAATGGTTGGGCACATTTCCTTTCACCGTCCTTCCTTGTCCTCTCCTTACTATCCTTCTGCTATCCCTTTCCCTCCCTCTCCATACCTAATGTCTAGGCATTTGTCTAAGCATTTCCCTGTGTCTAAGGGACCCTAAGCATCTAAATGTCTAAGCATTTCCCTGTGTTGTCATCTTTGCATCACGTGTAGTAATGACTATGTCAGCACGTAAAGAAATACTTTGTGTGTGTATGCGCACGAGTGAAGGGAATGAATAAGGTGTGTGTGCAGGCATGACAACATTGATACCTGCCCTATATCACAGTTGATAGAGGCACATTACCCATTCCATAGCTCTAGATCAGAGACCGGTCCCTGTTGCAGCGGTGATCCCCGGATCTTGCAACAGCATTCATCCGCTCTCATGTCCACTCCCCCACCTGCTACACCTCCTCCACTTCCACCTGCTATCACTCCATCTCGTCTCCACTGGTTGGGCACATTTGAGCCCTCCGGCGCCCCATCCACCTAACCTCCACTTCCTCCTTTCGTCCACAGAAGATAAAGATCGAGAAGTCAATAAATAATAATATTACTTTCCTCCCATTATTCTTCACAGCGCAGGTCTAATTCCTACTCAAGACTTATCCTCAGTTGATCACTTCACACAATAACACACTAAACTTTTTATGATCAGTTAAATGCACTAATAATCGTCTTTCTTCCGCCTCCACTTGCCAAGTTTCCGTGCAAAATTATAGTTTCAGCAGAATTACAATTGAATAAGTACATTTTCACTATCCTCCTTACTGTCTGAATCTGTCTGAATCACTATGGAATTTTTCCTAAAAACGTTCATTCACACATGTAACCGCAGGTGCCCTCATTCGACACCTACACCTCACACCCCTTGTTACCCTATTGCTTCCTGTTGCAATGAAGTCTAAGCTGTGCAAAACCATGATTTCAGCAAAACTTCCTAAGTATATTCCACTGAACAAAGTGAATTCCTTACTTGTTGTTAAAGATTCGCTACCTGGAACAAAGTTCCAAGTAGCACGGGCTATGGCGAGCCCGTAGGGGAGCTAACCCGAAACACGTTTTCCCCCTAAACACATTTCCGGCCTCACCTGTACCCACCCCTATTGTGTCATGTTTGCAAATCCCATTTTACCATTACAATGTTAGAAGGTCTGAGAGCTTACATGGTCGTAGTCCTATTTTTCCCTACTCGCATTAAAGTAATATATTCTGAAGGGTAGGCGTGGAACCATTGCTCGTCCCTGTGAATGTACAAACAGCCACAGCACATGAACATTGACTTCTTTACACATCTAGGTAAATGTACACACACAGCCATGGCCCCGTGCACATTGAATTCATTGACTTTATTCTCCTGCCCGAAACGCTTTGCGTAATAGTGGCTTTAGGCATTGTATGTACTAGCTCTCTCTATAAACCTAGCAATTTTTGTAAAAATCTCTTGTATGTATGTACCTTACCTGAATAAACATTTATTTATTATTTATTTATAACTCACCAAATACAAAACCAAGTTGGACAAAATCCAGAGATATATCTTCAGACTAATCCAGAATCTAGAATTCCCCGAATCCATAATTCCAGAATAGGCCCAGAGCTGAAAGATTGGAAATATGAGGAGCGACTAAAGAAATGAAACATAAGAGAGTAGACAGAGGGAAGAAACTATCACCACTTACCAAGCGACTTGAACACCTGTAGATATTTGGAAACGAAGTTGCCTATCCAAAAACACAGACGTCAAAAATAATTTCTTAACTGTCCGATAAGTATAGCAGTGAAATTTACTTGAAAAGTAAGTGGTGGAGGCAGATTCAATACAGGGGATCAAATATTGATGTAACAAGACCCCAAAGGGCTTAAAAACCTGTTCACCAATTGATTGTAAGTTGATAATGTTGACCTAAGAAATCTGGTTGGAATATGGTCACTCTCTCTCTCTCTCTCTCTTTCTCTCTCTCTCTCTCTCTCTCTCTCTCTCTCTCTCTCTCTCTCTCTCTCTCTCTCTCTCTCTCTCTCTCTCTCTCTCTCTCTCTCTCTCTCTCTCTCTCTCTCTCTCTCTCTCTCTCTCTCTCTCTCTCTCTCTCTCTCTCTCTCTCTCTCTCTCTCTCTCTCTCTCTCTCTCTCTCCAGAGGAATCAAGCGTGACTACGATAATTAATTTTTGTAATTTATAGAATACCTGAGGAAGTGTACAATAATTGTCAGATCTCTCAACATCTAATGACTACTTTTACCTCTTAAAAATGAGCGTCAATTTGCAATAAATTTGCCATTGTATAATTATCGTATACATTATATCTTTACCTTTGGCAGGGTTTTGTTTCTTGTGTTTTATCTTATATACTTTTGTAGTTATCATGCATCACGTTTATCATGCACCGTATGTTGTATGTATCATATATTTTGTAATGTATCCTGCACCTGTATATCATGCATCATATGTATCATGCACATGTATATCATGCACCTGTATATCATGCAAGGTATATGTAGAGGATCAGTCATCCCTGGTCGTTCAGTATACCTGTCGGCCAGTATACCTGTCGTTCAGTATACCTGTCGTTCAGTATACCTGTCGTTCAGTATACATGTCGTTCAGTATACCTGTCTTTCAGTATACCTGTCAGCCAGTATATCTGTCGACCAGTATACATGTCCAGTATACCTGTCGTTCAGTATACATGTCGTTCAGTATACCTGTCGTTCAGTATACATGTCGTTCAGTATACCTGTCGGCCAGTATACCTGTCGTTCAGTATACCTGTCGTTCAGTATACCTGTCGGCCAGTATACCTGTCGTTCAGTATACCTGTCGGCCAGTATACCTGTCGTTCAGTATACCTGTCGGTCAGTATACCTGTCGTTCAGTATACCTGTCGTTCAGTATACCTGTCGTTCAGTATACATGTCGTTCAGTATACATGTTCTTAAAATCTGATGGCTAAAAATCCCCGATTTGTCGTTAAGAATCGTCCTATAATGTCTAGTCTCAATTGGTTAGTTCAAACTTGTTAACAGCCTAATTACTGCACATTCTCAATGAATAATTTTACCGTACTTTTGAATCACGGACAGGAATGTATTTCTTAATTAATACGTTAGCGGATATAATGCACAGCAACATTGTAACAAAATCCATTATAATTTGTTAATATTCAAATTAATAAAATATATTAATTATTTTGCCTGACCATACGATGTTTTGTTGTGACGCGTACGATACTTTGTTGTGGCGCGTCGTGTCTATAGCCGCTGCCAGACACACGATCCGCTGCCGTGATATGAATACCACACATAGCCTGAGTGTAAAGTATATGTATAGATAAAAGCGCGAGTACGACGCCAGCTGAATACATATATACCCTTAATGAGGGTTGTGATCCTATCGTGTGATTGTTTACGGCCATCTGGCGGGGGTTTGTGACACTAATGGTACCAGGCGACTCTATCACACGCGGGTTTATTTAAAGAGTGTAGCTCATGTCGTATTAAAAAGAATATCAGAACTCCTTACTTTGCTGTAAATTAATATATCATTCACTCTTAAGTGCAGTCATAGTATAGTTTGTTATATTAAAAGTTGGTTTATAGGGATATATTCACCGAGAGGTATACCCAGTGCCTTGGTGTACAGTATATATACACTGGAAGTTTACATTATTGGTCTGTAAACCATTGAAATTGAAATTGAAGTAAGTTTATTGAGGTAAAATACACACAAAGGGATGAGGTAGCTCAAGCTATTCTCACCCCGTTCAGTACATCGTGTTAATACATACATAGACACACATCACAAGGAATATACATATTACCGAACATGCTGAGAGATAAACATATACATTTCCTCCTTTACACAAGTAAGTAAACTATTGTGGGTGGCCTTAATAACCCTCCAGAGGTTGATAGGTCTTGAAGAACCAAACATAATTGTGTAATATATTCTTACCTTCGACTTGAGCTGATTTTGTGGGCGGCGTTCGAGTGTATGGGTGAAGGGTTTATCTAGTAGCATTTGCTGAGCAGATTTAGAATCGAGATTCAGCTCCTGGGTTCCACCTTTCTCTTGTAGTTAGTTCCAAGTGTTTGGGTGTGGGTCGTGTTTCTTTTGTTATATTTTCAACCACAGACGTGGTCATACATTTAAGATGGTAACCATCTTATGTACAGTTTCTTCCTCCATGGACAGCGTTAAAGATCTGCTAGACATATAGTGATTTATTGAACAATCAACCACATAAGGTGATTGTAGTGTTTTTAAAATGTCCTTTTACACATAATGTGATTAATGTGTGTCTACAAAGGTGAAATGGA